CTGGGAGAAGACATTGGCCTCGGACAAACACGGCGTCCTGGACCTCGGCATCAGCACGAGAACTTTCGGCTCGGCTACGGCATGGGCATCTACTGGGAGTCGCTGGCGAGGTGGATCAACACGCGCGCCCGTCGCGACGCGCGGCGCCTCGGCGTCCCCCTCGTTTTCCTGCAGGCCGTAGACGAGTGCGGCACGATTCAGGGCGACCCAGACGCAGGCCGGCGCCTCCTGAACGTTCCGAACGTGCACAAGACCGGGGACATCCACGGCGTCTTACCGGCACACGTCGGCATGGAGGTCCGGTTCACGGCCGTGCAGGAGGAGCTGAAGAAGAAGTTGGGGCTCGTGCAGGAGCAACGGGCCACCGTCGTGTCCTTCGAGTTTCACGCAGACGACGAGCGGGACTACGAGGAGTGCGAGCCGGGCCAGCTCTTCCACCCCCGCTACCTACCGCAGGGAATTTGGCGGCAGGTGCACGGCTTCCAGGAGTCCCCGATCTACAAGGAGGTCGCCGAGGTGCTGCAGCTGCGCGCCGATGGCGCTGGCGACGACGGCGATGCCGAGGCGCGGGCGAGGAGCTTGCTCATGTTCAGGCCCAGCGAGCAGGAGTTCACGTGGCAGAGCTCGGGGGCTCACGCTGCGCGCCGCTCGGGGTTCACCCTGGCGCGTGCGTCCTACCTGACCTCCACGCTGTCGCAGGGCCAGACGCTGCGCAAGGGCGTCACCATCGACTGCGCCAGGGATGAAGACGCTGGCCGCACGGGCGCGTCGGACGAGATGTGGTGGCTGCACCTCTACGTCATGTTCTCCCGCGCCACGCGCGCGCGGAACATGCTGATCCTGCGGCCGCCCGCGCGAGAGTTCCTGGGGCGCGGGCCGGAGCGCGGGCCGCCGGCGTCCCCGCGGAAGGCGCTGCAGGAGTTTGACAAGAGAGCGGTGGGCTCCAGGGCGGAGCAGCTCGCGGCAGAGCTGGGTTTCGTGTTGCCACCCGCCTGAGCGCCGCGGCGCGCACCTGGAGGCCCGCGGGGTTGTCCCAACGGCTGGCTCCCGCGCCCCTGCGGCCTGCGAGGTTGTCCCAACGGCCTGGCCCGCAGGGTTGCCCCGACGGCTTCGCGATCTAGCCGTCGGCAAACGCGCGCGTGTTGGCCGACGCGGCGACGGCGCCGAGGAAAATCGAGTTGCTTGCCACGACCAGGGGGAACGGGAGGCGCACATGGAGAAGAGGCAGGAGGATGGGGAGGGGAGGGGCATGGGGGAGGGCGACGACGAGGAGGAGGTGGCGCGAGAGGAGGAGGAGGAGGAGGAGGAGGAGGAGGAGGAGGAGGAGGAGGAGGAGGAGGAGGAGGAGGAGGAGGAGGAGGAGGGGAAGGAGGAGGAGGAAGAGGAGGAGGAGAAGGAGGAAGAGAAATATAAGGAGGAATAGAGGGCAGTGCAGAGGGCGAGAGGAGAGGGTGTCCGCCATGGGGAGGAGGAAAAGGCAAAGGGTAAGCTAAACAGATTCTCGTGCGGGGTCCTACCGTCGGAGTAATTTTACTACCTGGACCCCCCCCCCCCGGACACCCCCCCTAAACCGGACCCTTCCCCCAGGGACGCTCCGGACGCCCTTTCGGACGTTTCGGCGGCCCCCATGGACGCCCTTGGAAAAAGGTTCGGTGGCCCTTCCGGGCCTCCCAAGGCGCCTCGCTGGGCCTTGCGAGCCGACTGAAGGCGATTAGAAGGGTCGTCGGTGAGGCGCAAGAGAGACCCAAGACAGCGCAAGAGCGCTCCAAGAGGAACCTCGATGGTCTGAAGGCGGCCGGAGAGGCCCCCAAGACACCCCAAGAGGCCGTTAAGAGAGCCCCGAAGAAACCGAAATCGTCACATTCCCTCAGGCAATACATTTGTTGTGCATATCCGCTTTTTGGGTCTTCGCAGCGTCCAAGACGGCCCAATGGGCCCCCAATCTCGGCCCAAGACGGCCCGGGAGGCCCCCTAGAGGGGTTGAAGGCGGCCCAAGGGGGCCCCAAGACTGCCCCAGAGAGCCCCGAGACTGCCCACAAGAAACCCAAGATGCCCCCAGAAGGCTCCCAAGAGAGACCCACGAAAGCCATGGGATACCTCCAAGAACGCCACTGGAGGCCCGCAAGAGGGCCCTAGATGGCTTCAGAAGACCTCTGGAGGGCCCCAGCTCCCCAAGGCGGCCCAAGAAGCCCCCTGCACGGCCCAAGAGTGCCCCAGGACGGCACAAAAGAGCACCAAAAACGACCAAACGGCGTTCTCCTACGAAATACATCAAGCTGACCCGACGATCTTGGTTCCACGTTTGAGGCTCGAGGTTTCAGTAGCTACCCGATCGAGACAGACAGGCAATGGATCTAGATTCGAAATTCGACGATCGAGGATTTCCTGAGTGCCTGGAGCCCTCCAGGCATTCGGGAAGCGATTAAACATCGATGTGTTCGGAGCTACTGTGACTTCTTCGGCGTGTCATTGGAACGCTCCGTACTTCCTCAAAAGACCTTCGCGCGCGAAAAAATCAGCATGATTTCTCCACTCCTGCGCACAAGCGTGCCAGCGCATCGTCCGAAAGCGGTGTCAGCAGGCACCCGGGATATCGGAAAAATGGGCGGGTCGCCCGTCCAGGCCTCGAGGTCCTCCCTGCTGAAGAAAGCGATGATGTATTGTTTTGCCAGGAAGCGTCCGGGACAAGGCGCATGGCGCGAAGCGCCAATGCAGTCTTGTATATATATATATATATATATTTATATATATATATATGTGTATGTATATTTTTATGTATATATACATACATATTTATATATATATATATATACATATGTGTATATATATATACATATATACATTTGTATTTATATATATATGGGCATGTTCTCTCTATTTTTATGTACGTTCTATGTGTAAATGTGGATACAGAGAGAGAGAGAGAGAGATCTCGTGATAGAGAGAGGGAGATAACGAGGGATTGGGGAGAGAACGAGAACGAGAGAGAGAGAGAGAGAGACTGGGGAGAAGCGGGAACTGATTGGGCAGAGGGTGTGGCACTTCACAAAAAAAGGGAGGGAGGGAAGCCAGTGAAGACCCTGAGGGGGAGGAGGCGGAGTAGGAGGATCGTGTCGCATCTCTCTGCTCTCTCCTTCTCTGTCGCCTCATTTCCGCCGCTCTCCCCCCCCCAGCGGCAGGCTGATCTGAAGCGTGATGGGGCAGACACGGGGGGTGAGTGTAGGAGTGGCGTAGGGGTTGGGCGGGTCGTGTGGGGTGGCGTGATGCTCCTCCTCCCCTCCTCCTCCTCCTCCTCCTCCTCCTCCTCCTCCTCCTCCTCGTCCTCCTTACGTGTGCAAAGTCAGAGCCTGAATTTAGTCATCAACCTCGCCCTTCTCTTGGCGTGATCAACCGGAGAGCTACCTCTCTCTCCGCTTCTGCTCCTCGGTGCGCCGCTCGCGCTCCCCGCCGGCTCTTATCCTTCGCCCCCCTTCTCTATCCTTAGCCGCTCCCTGCCCCCGTCAATGGCTCCGGAGGTGGCCCTCGAGGCTTTGGCATCGGACTTCCCCTCCTCTCTTCTTCGCCCCCCCCCCCTGCGCGACTGTCCAGACCGTTGCGCCCCCCGCTAAAATTCGCGAGAGCCCGGGCCCCCCGCGATGAATTCGCGAGAGTCCCGCGAAAGATTTGCGGGAACCCTTCGCGCCGTGCACTGTCCTCCCAGGCGCCCCCCCGGGCTACCTCGCCCCCGTGGGACCCCCTTGGGCGATGCGCGAGGGCTGTTCCCGCGCGAGACCACCCCGGGCGACTCGTGCAGGCACTGATTGGCGGAGACCCCCCCGGGCGATTCCACCGCTCGGACCGACCCCCGCCAGGGCGAGTCGGCCCGTCCTGGACCCCCCCCCCAGGCGATCCAGGACCCCCCGCGCCCTCCCAGGCGAGCGGGGGCGCCTGCGGGAAAAGCCCACGCCTAAGCTCCCCCTTTTAAGGGAACCTTGGCGGGGGCGATCCGCGCCGGGGCGGCAATCGAACCCTCCTGGGCGATCGACCGCGGCAGATTCCTCCCGCACAAAAAAAACACCAAAAAACACAAACCAACGCACGCAAAAACACAAAAAAAGACACAACAAACACAAACAAACACCGGACGGAACATAAAAAACACAAAAAGATACAAAAGCCACACAGACACACACAAAAATGACTAAATTATGGCTCTGACTTTGCACACCTAATCCTCCCTGCGGCCCCCTGCCTCGCCGCCCTGCCCCTCGCTGCCGGGGTTGCGGCACGAGCTGCGTGTAGCGGAGGGCGAACTATTCCTCCTGCGGTCGTCCTCATTGGTCAAGGGCGCGAGGCGTCACAAAAACATGTGGATTTGGGGCTCCCGGGCCGGCCCCCGGGGCCTCCGAGGCGGCTCCCCCACGGATCCCCCGAAGACGGCCCCGGCACACCCCCATGGGACAATCTGAAGGCTCGTTGGCAGTTTGGACCCCGCAGCAATCGGGGCCCTCCGGGAAGGGCCACGCGGCGAGTTTCGAGAGCGCCCGGGAGCGCCCATGGATCCCGTGCTGGGGGTATCCGGTCCCCGAGAGTGTATACAACTAGTGCTCAACAGTCCGAAGATTTGAGGACTTGAGGACGCTCCACTCAGTGCCTACAGCACCGTGGCGCATGTCCGTCACAGCTTTTCCAGTGCGGGGGAGGCAAGACTTCGACCATACGCTAGGCCAGGGGTCGGACCATGGCTTCGGCACACGCGTGCTCGGCTGAGTGCACGCGGGTGCCTGGGCCGTTCAAGGCTGCTCGGCTATCTGGATTCTGGGTGACGCCTGTTGGATGGAGGCGGGGAGGGGGTCGTCACGGAAGGGGGTCTTGACGGAAGGTGCGGTTTGGTCGCATTCGAGCTTTTCTGGTGCTTGGTGTTTCGAGCCAGAGAGATCCACGAGGGTTTTGGTGTCCGAAGCAGGGCAGGCACGCCCGTCGGTGGTCTCATGACGGCGCCCGCGCGGACGCCCACCGAGGCTGCGGATGCGGCGGCGGCCGCCACGCCTTGCCCGACGCCGCCTCCGCTGCCCCCACGCACGGTCGCCGGGGGACGTCAAGTACAGCAGGTCCGCGCCGCGTTGACGCGAGCTACCAGCCTGAAACATATCCCTCTCCAGATGATTTGTACTTCCTTATCTCGGTGCCGATTTTCAGGATCCCCTGGGTTTCTGGAGGCCACATTCATGATATTGCCATCGCCTTGGGCTCGTCGGTCTTAGGGACAGGGATCTGTCCGAGGCTCCTCAGCGAGGGCGACCCCGGCGCGGGCGTCGATCGCCGCTGGTGGCCAATCATCGGCCGATGTCGACGGGTCTGCGCTGTCGGAAAGCCGCGATCGTTCACCACCGCCCACCAAACCGCCCCAACCAAACCCGAAGGCCCCGACTTGCCCTCCATCTCCAGTGGGGGGGGCGGGGTCGGGGAACACTGAACAAAAAACACATGGGACCGGCTCCTTCTCGAGATGTCGCTCTCGCCCCGGAAGGGTTCGCGCCTCCTCCTCAAAATGTCGCTCCGCCTCCTCAGAATGTCGCTCCTCCTCCTCCCCCTCAACATGTCGCTCCTCCTCAACACATGGGACCCGTGCCCCCCCAACCCGAGCTTGGGGCAACAGTCGCTTCTGCGGGTTGGGCTGGGGGGTGGTCTGGTGAGGGGGAGGGGGAGCAGGAGGAGGAGGAGGAGAGGAGGAGGAGGAGGAGGAGGAGGAGGAGGACGAGGAGGAGGAGAAGGAGGACGAGGACGAGGACGAGGACGAGGAGGAGGACGACCAGGTCGAGCGATCCGCGCGGTGTCGGAGACCAGCGCCCGCCGTCGACGCGGAGCGAGCCCGCCGTGCGCGCCCGCGCGGAGCCCAGCCAGGCCAGGCCCCAGCCCAGGGGTCGGCGTGCACGCGCGCCCTGCGGGCGGGGCCGGAGTTCAGTCGGGCGGGTCCCCCTACAGGAGGCATGCTCAAACATAGTCAACCAAAATTGTCAGGGGATGATTGTTCCCAACACCATCCTGTGGTGTGTTGGGTCCTCGTCTTGAAGAGACAGCGCCGCGCGTCCTTCCTTCTCCTCCCGCTGCCCCCCCTCCCTCTCCCCATCATCAGCATCACCGTCACCATCATCATCGTCATCATCATCACCATCATCATCAGTTCGGCACCCCCCTCACACGGTTCGTGGCCCCATAGGGAGCTCCACCGAAGGCCCTAGTGGGTGCGTCCGCATGCGTCACCGCGACCCAGGACAGCGTTTCGTGGCCCCATAGGGAGCTCCACCGAAGGCTCCAGTGGCAGCGTCCGCATGCGTCACCGCCACCCATGACGGCACACCCCTCACACGGTTCGCGGCCCCATAGGGAGCTCCACCGAAGGCCCCAGTGGCAGGGTCCGCATGCGCCACCGCCACCCATTGCGGCGCCCGCCTCACACGGTTCGTGGCCCCATAGGGAGCTCCACCAAAGGCCCCAGTGGGTGCGGTGCGTCCGCATGCGTCACCGCCACCCAGGACAGCGCTTCGTGGCCCCATAGGGAGCTCCACCGAAGGCTCGAGTGGCAGGATCCGCATGCGTCACCGCCACCCATTACGGCACCCGCCTCACACGATTCGTGGCCCCATAGGGAGCTCCACCGAAGGCCCCAGTGGGTGCGTCCGCATGTGTCACCGCGACCCAGGACAGCGTTTCGTGGCCCCATAGGAATCTCCACCGAAGGCCGCAATGGCAGCGTCCGCATGCGTCACCGCCGCCCATTACGGCACACCCCCTCACACGGTTCGTGACCCCATAGGGAGTTCCACAGAAGGCCCCAGTGGGTGCGTCCGCATGCGTCACCGCCACCCAGGACAGCGGTTCGTGGCCCTATAGGGAGCTCCACCGAAGGCTCCAGTGGCAGGGTCCGCATGCGTCACCGCCACCCATTACGGCACACCCCTCACACGGTTCGCGGCCCCAAAGGGAGCTCCACCGAAATGCCCCAGTTGGTACGTCCGCATGCGTCACCGCCACCCAGGTCAGCGGTTCGTGGCCACATAGGGAGCTCCACCGAAGGCTCCAGTGGTAGGGTCCGCGTGCGCCACCGCCACCCATTACGGCACACCCCTCACACGGTTCGTGGCCCCATAGGGAGCTCCACCGAAAGGCCCCAGCGGGTGCGTCCCCATGCGTCACCGCGACCCAGGACAGCGTTTCGTGGCCCCATAGGGAGCCCCACCGAAGGCTTCAGTGGCAGGGTCCGCATACGTCACCGCCGCTCATTACGGCACACCCCCTCACACGGTTCGTGGCCCCACAGGGAGCTCCACCGAACGCCCCAGTGGGTGCGCCCGCATGCGTCACCGCCACCCAGGACAGCGTTTCGTGTCCACATAGGGAGCTCCACCGAAGGCTCCAGTGGCAGCGTCCGCATGCGCCACCGCCACCCATTACGGCACACCCCTCACACGGTTCGTGGCCCCATAATATGGAGCTCCACCGAAGGCCCCAGTTGGTGCGTCCGCATGCGTCACCGCGACCCAGGACAGCGTTTCGCGGCCCCACAGGGAAGTGCACCGAAGGCTCCAGTGGCAGGGTCCGCATGCGTCCGCGCCACCGATTTCGGCGCACCCCCTCGCATGCTTCGTGGCCCCATAGGGAGCTCCACCGAAAGCGGTACCCACAATGCTGCACTCGCAGCTGCATGTGGTTGGGTCCTTCGTCAGGCTAATGTTTGTAAAGTCTATCGTTTCGTATGTTTTGATTATTTTTCCTAACCATCCTATGGTGTTGGGTCCTCGCTTTGAAGAGACAGCGCCCCGCGTCTCCTCCCACCTCCCTCCCTCCCTCCTCCCTGCGTTTCACCCACCCAGTACAGGATTCGTGGCCCCTGAGGGAGCTCCGCCGAAGGTCCCAGTGGCGCAGCCCACATGCGCCACGCACACCAAATTCGGCACACCGCTCACACGTTTCGTGGCCCCATAGGCAGCTCCGCCGAAGGTCCCAGTGGCGCAGCCCGCGTGCGTCCGTCACGCACACCCATTTCGGCACACCGTTCACACGTTTCGTGGCCCCATAGGGAGCTCCGCCGAAGGTCCCAGTGGCGCAGCCCGCATGCGCCACGCACACCCATTTCGAACCCCCCCCCCTCACACGTTTCGTGGCCCCTGAGGGAGCTCCGCCGAAGGTCCCAGTGGCGCAGCCCGCACGCGTCACGCACACCCATTTCGGCACACGCCAAGGGAGCTCCGCCGAAGGTCCCAGTGGCGCAGCCCGCATGCGTCACGCACACCCATGTCGGCACACGCCTCACACGTTTCGTGGCCCCAACAGACAGGGGAAGGATCACGTTTTCGATTTTTGGGCCCTCCGCACTGAGTCACTCCGACACCCCCCCGGGTGGGAAACGCCGTGGGCGCGCACCAGCCCCTATATGGACCTCCAGCCATTGGGGAGCCCGGCGCCTGTCCTTGCCGCTGACACCGTGGCGCTGGTAGGGCCCCTCTCGACGTGTTGGGACGATTTGGGGAGCCTCTTGGGCCGTCCTTGACGCTGTCAAAACGAAACAAGTTAGTATGCAAAGAAAGTGCGTTTTCCTTAGGGGATGTGTCAATTTTTGCTTCTTGGGGCCGCCTCGGCAGACCTCTGGGAGCACTCTTGGGCCGTTTTGGGCGCCTCGTGGGCCGTCTCGGAGCCATCTGGGGCCGTCGTGGGGCTGCGCGTGGGTGGGAGTCCTCTAAACATACCAGCATTACCTGACTGTTTGTAGGAACGGCCCCCCCTGGAAGCGCAGAGGCTCGTGCTGGCGGCGGCCACAGCGGCGCTGGCGGCGACGGCGGCCGCGGCGGCGCTGGCGGCGACGGCAACGGCTGAAGACGACGATATTTTGGTCAGTTGCGAGTCGGGCCAGTTCGTGCCTCAAGCCTTTGCTCGTTTCGATGCGCGGGGGGCTCCTTGTCCCGGCTGCTCCGCGCGCCGCTGCTATGCTAAGCGTCGGCGCTTCACCGTCTGTGCAAACAAAGAGAAGGCGTTGGGCACGCGCTCAGTGTGTACCCAGGTCTTGTCGTAGAAAGCCTCCCCCTCTGCCAACCGCACAAAGACTGCGTTCTTGCAGAGCCAACGAGAGCGCCAGGGCGAGTTCTCGTCGACCAGGTAGTAGTCCGGCGCGTCCCAGTCCACTGTTGCCACCACGGCGACCCCGTACAAGTACTGCGGGTACGCGTGGACGTTCGTGGCGCTCTGTCTCCCGCGGGACTTCGTGTTCCTCGCTTACAGTGCAGCCCTCCACTGGAGCAGCTGCGCCCACGAGTTGCAGTTGTCCAGCACCAAGCCGCCGTGCTGGTCGCACTGAAAGCTACGGAGGTCCAAGTGCTCTGCCTCCTCCACAGTCAGCACCAGCGGCTTGCTGAAGAGGCTCTCCGCGTAGCTCGACTTTCCAGACGCACTGTCGGCCACGAGAGCCAGAAGTTTCCACCGGAAGCCGAGGGACAGGAACGACTCCTCCCACTCGCGCACGGCAGGGAACTCGCGAAAGGGCGCCCGGATCTTGTCCAGCGCGGAGTCCACGAAGGCGACCCGATCGTCGATCCAGGCCTCCTTTTCCGCTGCGCGGACTGCCTCGACGTTGCGCTTCTTCTTTGCGAAGCCTATTCGGACTCGCAATGCGAGGGCCTTGTAGTTGTCGTTGTCGAGCTTCTCGTCTGTCCAGAGGTCGTCCAACCACTTGCCCTGCACGCGGTACTTCTTCCACGGCGGCCGGTTGGTGCCCCTGAAAAGCGTCCCTTTTTTTTCGACGCCCAAGCGTAGAAGCGGGCGCGGTTGCTTGCCTCTGCCAAGCTGGCCCCCCTGGGGGCCTTCAACGCGCCCGTCGGCGTCTGGCTGGTTAGCGCCGCCGTCGGGCGGACATCTGGCGCGACGCCGTGAAAGGCAAACACAATCGGAGTTGGGTTGTCGATGGCCTTCTTTATATTTATCTTCCAATGGAAGTGAACGCGCCCGGTGTCTTCGCTGTCCAAGGACTCCTCCAAAGTGGGCGCGCTTTGCTCGACGCCCAGCTCCTTCTTCTCGCGCTTCTTCCAGTCGCGCCACAGCGCCCAGAGGTCCTCGTTGGAAGCTGCCGGGGGGGTGCCGTCGGGGAAGGCCTTGTCCGTGAAGAGGTGATTGAAAGTGAGCAGGAAGCTGCGGCCGCGCATTCGGAACCCGCTGGCAGAACTTCCAGAAGCGTCGTCTCCGGCACCTGCCGGGGTGCACGTATTCAGGGACCGCAGGGAAGCTAGCCAAGTAGGCGGACACCGCGTCCTCCAACTTCTGCTTGTCTTCCCGCTCCAGCAGCTTCTTCCGGATGTCGGTGACCATAGCCAGTGCCTTCTCCCGGGCTGCATTGTCTCTGTCCTGGGCAACGCCGCGCGCGCGGGCGATCGCCCTGAAGGGTTTGACGAGCTCCGCCCTGGCGGCCGTGGCCACGCAGGGTGAAGTGCAACTTGAGCCAAATGGCGACGGGTATTGGGATGCTGAATCGCCCATCGCGTCTACGAAATTTTTTCCGAATTTGGCTCAGTCACCATCGTGGCGGTGACGGTGGAGTTTCTTGGGGTCCCTGGTCTGGCGCCCCGTCTGGACATCGGTTCCGTGTTTCGCGAGCCCCCGTTCTCCTTATCGCCCGAGTGAGATCGGTCTCGATGACGCCCGAAGGGGGTCTTGGAGGAGAAGCGCGATGACGATGTTGTTGACGACGGCGATGGCGATGGCGATGCTGGTGACGAAGCGAATGGCGCTGGTTCTCCCGAGTTGCTGAAGGCCCCTATGGGGCCTTCAGCACCTTGGAAGAACCAGCGCCGTTGGCTTGAAAAAAAAACGCAACATTAAAGAATCTCACAGGTGCTTCGCCGCGCGGGTGTGCTGTCTATGGGGAAGGCGCACCGCTGCCGAGAGACCAGAGCAAACCTTCATTGCAAAAAAACAACTTTCAGGTCGACCTGAAAACGCCCAGGTGCCCCGCGTGTATGAAATAAAACATTATGGTGACGTTTTCTCGACCTGAACGTATTATCCGTGTGAAAAAAATCAATGGATGAGGCGTCCCCGGAGGAAGTTTTCAGGTCCAACCTGAAAATTTTCAGGTCGACCTGAAAATGCCGAGGTGCTCCAAACGTATCAAAGAATGCACCCTGGTGGCATTTTCAGATTCCTACACCGTGTGGCGAATATAATAAGATAAGGGACCTGAGGGAACCTGAAAATGAGCCCCCCCCCCCAGTGGTTCCGCCGAACCCCCTATGGCTCCGCTCAATTACACTACTGGCGTGTGCAATGACATTGTACGGGGCCCCGTGCGCCTCACGGGGATACGTCAATCTGCCATGGCCCACTCACTCTCGACGCGAATGCTCCTGCTTGCATTTTTCGCGAAACTTTTGTAAATGGTTAGTATCTCAAACAAAACGCACAGAAGACATCGACAGCGTAGCCTTCCCTTGTCTGAAAGGGAGCTCCGCCGAAGGTCCCACTGGCGTAGCCAGCATGCGTCACGCACGCCCATGTCGGCACACCCCTCACACGCTTCGTGGCCCCAAAGGGAGCTCCGCCGAAGGTCCCAGTGGCGCAGCCCGCATGCGTCACGCACGCCCATTTCGGCGCACCCCTCACACGTTTCGTGGCCCCATGGGAGCTCCGCCGACGCTCCCAGTGGCGCAGCCCGCATGCGTCACGCACACCCATTTCGGCCCACCCCATCACACGTTTGGTGGCCCAGAGGGAGCTCCGCCGAAGGTCCCAGTGGCGCAGCCCGCATGCGTCACGCACGCCCATGTCGGCACACCCCTCACACGTTCCGTGGCCCCATAGGGAACTCCGCCGAAGGTCCCTGTGGCGCAGCCCGCACGCGTCACGCACAGCCCTGTCGGCACACCCCTCACACGTTTCGTGGCCCTTGAGGGAGCTCCGCCGAAGGTCCCAGTGGCGCGGCACGCGTGCGTCACGCACACCCATTTCGGCACACCCCTCACACGTTTCGTGGCCCCAAAAGGGAGCTCCGCCGAAGGTCCCAGTTGCGCAGCCCGCATGCGTCACGCACGCCCATGTCGGCACACCCCTCACACGTTCCGTGGCCCCAGAGGGAGCTCCGCCGAAGGTCCCTGTGGCGCAGCCCGCACGCGTCACGCACAGCCCTGTCGGCACACCCCTCACACGTTTCGTGGCCCTTGAGGGAGCTCCGCCGAAGGTCCCAGTGGCGCGGCACGCGTGCGTCACGCACACCCATTTCGGCACACCCCTCACACGTTTCGTGGCCCCAAAAGGGAGCTCCGCCGAAGGTCCCAGTTGCGCAGCCCGCATGCGTCACGCACACCCATGTCGGCACACCCCAACACTTGTTCCGTGGCCCCAAAGGGAGCTCCGCCGAAGGTCCCAGTGGCGCAGCCCGCACGCGTCACGCACACCCATGTCGGCGCACCCCTCACACGTTTCGAGGCCCCATAGGCCCTACGGGGCCACTGGGGCCTTCGCCGGAGCTCCCTATGGCATAGGGAGCTCCGGCGAAGGCCCCAGTGGCGCAGCTGGAACAGTTTGCGTCGCGCACCAAGCGGTGCAGGAGGGAGGCGGCAGCCCTCGCCAGAGAGGTGGGCTTCACCGAGTTTATCCGCGAGGTGTAACCTGGGGAGCGGCCCGCCCGAGCCGCGCCATATCCAGGCTGTTCAACAGTTCGGCCTGGCGCCGCTAGTTCGCTTTGCTCCGCGCAGCGGACGACCCGCGTGCGCTGCTGGGACCCCTTCGGGGCGACCAGCGCGCGTCGCGGGGACTCCGCGCTGCGGTGCGCCCTCAGCCTGGGACACTGGAGTGCGCGGGCAAAGATGGAGAAAAAGAGGGGGCGGAAGCGGGGGCGATCCACGCGAGGGGCGTGCCGACATGGGCGTCGACATTCATGCACGTAGACTTCATTCGCACGCAGACTCATGCACAACCAGGCGCACTCGTGCTCATACTCACTCGCTCTCGTTATCAGACCGATCGTCTTCTTCCGTGTTGTGTACCCCGCCGCACATCGGCACGCCCCTCACACGGTTCTTGGTTTCATAGGGAGCTGCACCGAAGACGAGATTCACTACGGCGGTACTTTCGACTGCGTATGGTTGGGTCCTTCGCCAGGCTAATTCGGATTTTTCGTCCAACGTTTGCCTGCAGGGGGACGTGCCCGACCTAGGGCCAGAGGTCCCCGCCCTCGTCTGGGGTCCCCTCGGGCCTCTTGGAAGGGGGGGGGCCGCGTTCTCGCTACGGGTGGGCTCGCCTCGGAGAGCCCTGGTCGGGGCCCATATGTCAGGGGACGCCTGGTTGCGGTGGCAATTCGTGGGAGAGCCTTGTGTTAAGTCGGGCATGTCCCTCTACAGGAGGAATATGCAAACAAATAACCAAAATATAATCGGGGGCGATTTGTGTTGGACAATGTTTGAGCATGTTGGGCGTATATTGTAAATCTTGTTATTTCGCTGTCGCCCAAAATCCCCCTGCATGGGGGACATGCTCGACCTAAGCCTCGTGTGCCCTCCAAATCGTTTTTTCGTGTCGACTCGCGTCGATTAGCGTCCGGGATTGGACGATATGGCGCCGACTTAGCGTCGGTTGGCGTTGATTCGCGTCGATTCAGCGTCGATTAGCACCGACGAGCGTCGATCCGCAAGAGCCGACAGGATGGTATGGGAGGCTCCCATGAGTTGCCACCGAAGATTCGGAGCCCTGGTCAGAACCCACGCCAGGGGATGCTTGGTGAGCACCGGTGTGCCTGTCCGCTGGCCCTGGGGCAGGGATGGGTGTGGCCTGCATCGGCGCTGCTGTACAGTTGGCGTCCTCCCAGGCGACCACCACCACGACCGGGGCATTTCCCCGCGAGGCTCATCGAGCGTTGGATCCGAATACCGTGGAGCTCGTCATCGCCTCCTACTGCGAGGATGCGTGGCGGCGTGCCGTCCCGTGCGAGCAGCAGTTTTCCTCTTTCTCCTCCGCCTCCTCGGATCACCTCTGGCTCCTCTTCTTCCTTGTCCTCCTCCGCAGACTCCGCCTTTGCATCCTTCGCCTGCTCCGCCTCCTCCTCCTCCTCCTCCTCCTCCATCTCCTCCTCCTCCTCGCCCTCCTCCTCCTCCTCGTTCCTCCTCCGTCCTGCCTGCTGTTCCTCCCCCTTCTCCTTCTCTTTCTCCTCGTTCTCCTCCCCTCAACCCCTCAAACCCACTTCTCCTCCTCCTCCTCCTCCTCCTCCTCCTCCTCCTCCTCCTCCTCTTCCTCCTCCTCCTCCTCCTCTTTCCTCCCTCCTCCTCCCTCGCTCCCTCCGTTGTCCCTCCTCCGTTAAGCTTCCTCCCGCCTCAATATCCCTTTTGCTGCTGAGCCTCCTCTACTCTCCTCTCCTCTCCTCTCCTCTCCTCTCCTCTCCTCTCCTCTCCTGTCCTCTCCCCTCCACCGCCTCCTCCCTCCTCCTCCTCTTCCCTCCTCTTCCTCCCCCCTCCTGCCATGGGGCGATTGTCAATGGATTGCTGGTTCGTGGTTGGCCTTGGAGCTCAATTCTGCTTCGGACTGTGCCCACGTGCCGATGTGTAGCGGCGTAGTCTTTCCAAAGCACGTGAGATTGGTTGCACATTGATACTAGTTCATATGCTAGCGCATGTGGTTGCTCATCCTCTCTAGGCGGCGTGGATGGCCGTAAGCAAAGGGTTCGTCGACTCGTTTGCTCCATCAGGGGTCAGGGGCTAAACAGCATGTTGTGCACCTGGACGCTACGTAATGCTGCAATGGTGGGCTTCCCGGGGGGGGGGGTCCAGCTTGTATCCCATTATTCGCTACATTGGAAGAGCGGATCTTGGGAACCAAGCGGGCGCCCAACTACAGCCGCGATGGGACCGCGAGGTTGCGTTTGCCGAGTGTTGGGAACCACGTGGCTGCAATTCAGGGGGGTCAGAAATTGCACACATTTGGTTTACAATACTCGGGGTCAACTTTTGCCAGGTATTGGGAACTAAGTGGGTGCCCGTTTAGGATGTCTAAACGGGCGCCCACTTGGTTCCCAACATTCGGGAGGCAAGTTTCCGAAGATCGGGAACCAGGTGGGTGCCTGTTTAGGGGCGTCTAGACGGGAACCAACTTAGTTCCCAAACATCGGCGAACATAGCCTCCCGAATATCGGGAACCAAGTGGGTGCCCGTTTAGACCCACCTCAACGGGCATCCTTTTGGTCCCCAATATTGAGCAAAAGTAGCCTCACGAAGACTGGGAACCAAGGGGGTGCCCGTCTGGACCCCCTTAAACGGGCACCCATTCGGTTCCCAATGTCCAGCAGTGATCTCCTCCCGAGCATTGTTAACCAAGCGAATTTGACATATTAGGAAACATTCGCCTCCCGACTGCTGGGAACCCAGTGGGTGCCCGTGCCCGTTTGGACACCCCAAAGGGCACCTACTTAGCTCCTAATAGTCGACAAATGTAGCATCCGAGATATTGGGATCCAGACGGGTGCACGTTCAGACCCCCCCATTCGGGCTCCCACTTGGCTCCGAATGCTTGGAATTGGTAGCCTCCCGACTGTTGGGAACCGAGCGGGTGCCCGTTTCGCCCCCTGAACGGGCATTCGTGTGTGGCTCCCAATGCTCAGAACACATTGCCTCCTCGCTTTGAGTGACCCACTGGCTCCGCCGAAGTTTCGCCGCACTGCCGCCCGTTGCGGCCTCGTTGCCGCCGCGCGGGGGGGACCGCCGGTCCGCCGAGGCTTCTCCGCGCCTCCGCGTCGCTGCCGCCCCGCGGCGGCCCCACCACAGAGCTCACACTGCACAGCTGTCTCTTTTGACAAGGCTTCACACCACAGAGCTTCACACTGCACCACAAGGCTTCCACCACATCGCTTGCACCACGCAGCTGTCTCTTTTGACAAGAAACCCCGGCTCCGCCACCCTCACCCCCTGGTGTTATCGACCCCCCACTGGGACACTGCCATTTACGTACGCTTCTGCCTCAGCGTTAGTTTCCACATGAGTTCATGCCATCCGATCGCACCCCCTCAGCCCTGTCAGATGATACTAAGCGCGCACCCGTTTATTTCAAATGGTTTTGTTTCAATGATCTCTGCCAGTAGATATCACAAAGTCTACACACACGCGCGCGAACATGTCGAACCCATTTCAACACATTAGTTCTTTCAGCATCTCAACCTCACGCATCAAGCACCGTTATAGTCTTATCATCGAATCTTACGATTGTGTCAGCATTTAAACCTAACACATCAAACTTCCTTATAGGGTTCCCATCATAAAATGTCATGCCCGCGCGCAGTCGTTGAAAGCGCAGGCAGTCCATATGACTTTGGCAGTCTCGTCCAGAGCCAGCATTATTATTATACTACGTGGTGCATTCGCGTTGATTCAGCATGCGCCTAGCGCATGACTCTGCATCAAATGCTACCATGCGGGCCGTACTCGCGCGACGCCACGCGCGCGTGTCGAAATCTGTCCAAAACCAAGTTGTGTTCGAAGTATATCAATATAGAGCGCTTCGGAGCCTTTGACCAACCCAGTGTTTTCAACAACATGTTTGCCAGGTTTCTTGCACTTCCGCGCGTGCGCACTTCCTCACCATCACCCCAATCAGCCCCACCGCATCACTGCCGGCATCGTCATCGTCAGTGGCCGCCATTGCCGCCATCAGCAGTGAACCATTATTCTCACCGACACGTGGACATCATCATTATCGTCGTCGTCGTCCCCGGCATCGGCACCGTCATTGGCCTTGCCGTCGCTATCGTTACCATCGCCATTGCCATCGCTACTATCAGACTCGTTGACGCGCCCGCCCAGGTCATCGACCCGCACCGAAGTGCCCGCACGTCCGCGCGGCCTCTGAGACGCGCTGGGAAGTTCCCACTGGTGAGCGCCATCGCGGCCGCGTCGGTTGTCGCACACCAGCCAGCCGCTCTGCGCAGAAGCCTACGCGCGCCAGCGCAGCCGCAGAGATGCGCCAGTTATATCCAAGCAGTCACCGCAAACGCGGCCGCACGGGTCTTACAAAACAAATTGCGGTTGGTAGGGCGGGTCGTTTGCGCGAGCAGTGGAGTTGAAGGCTTCAAGCTCCGCAAGGTGGATTGCACCACGTAGTTTTAACCCCGTAGCTTACACCACAGTGCTTGCGCCACGTAGACTGCACCACGTAGCTTGCACCACATAGCTTACAGCGAGTTCGCCAGACAGCTTGCACCACGTAACTTGCATATACACACTGTAATACCGCATTGTTTGAGGTCCACGCTTGCTGCCATGCTCATACCATGTGATGTCAAGGATGATATGGGGTCAATACGATGATGGCGATGATGGAGGCGACGATGGTGGTGATGCTGATGGCGGTGATGATGGTGATACTGATGTTGATGATGATGATGACTTTGGGGGTGGTGGTGGTGGTGGTGATGATGAGGAGAAGGACGATAAGGAGGAGGAGGACCAGGAGGAGGAAGGCGGAGGAGGAATTGGAGGAGGAGGAGGAGGAGGAGGAGAAAGAGGACGGGAGGAGGAGGAGGAGGAGGAGAAGCAGGAGGAGGAGGAGGAGGAGGAGGACGAGGAGGAGGAGGAGGAGGAGGACGAGGATTAGGAGGAGGAGTTGGAGGAGGGGAGGGCGAGGGAGAGAGATGGACGGAGAGGGGGCAGGGACGGATGGACGGGAGGACTTGTTGGACGACCTTTTGACCAAGCACAGGAGGGTTATGCGAGGGGGGGGAAGGGAGGGGGGAGGCGAGGACGACTCCCGCACGATGGAGCCTAAACCCTGGAAGGAACATGGCCTGATCACAACCGCATCGCGACAGCCAGTCACCCGTCCCCCCCAGAGGGTGGGGGTCGGGACCAACTGCCATGGCGGACGGGCCGCACGAATCCCCAGGAGACGCGGCTGGGGGTCCACTCGTCGGGCTGCTTGCATCTTTCGCAACGATGACAATCTGCAAGTCCTTCTGTATCCCCTCTCTGCGAAGGTACTTGCCTCTCTTGACGCGGCTGAGATTATCATTGCCCTCACGAGTGAGCCATGTGCATTCTGACGCCATGTGCCCGCCATCCACTGTCGCGTACTTCCCGCATGTGGTGCAGAAGCTCATGAGGTAACGCTGCCCTCTCTGTACTGTATGCGATGGGTGCACACATCTCTGCCTGCCGCCAGTGCACTCCCGCACGTTGTACGCACACCGTCACCATCAGGCAGGGGACGCCAGGAATCACGGCAGGTCGTACAGGCCGCACGGATGACCCTGGACGCCGGCACCACAGTCTTACATTGGTTGCATTGCCACTCGCCTCCCGTGTTGTCCCAGCGGTGGCTCGAGGTGGCTATGACGGGGGCACTCGTCTGACAGCTTGGGCCCGCTCCCCACTCCATAGGTCGGCCTATGCTGCCTGTGCTAGGGCTCTGCTGGCGGGCGCTCGGACCAGGGTGCAAGCGGCATCCCGGTGGTCCGTGTCAGGCCCTCTTCTTTCCGTCGAAGTCGCCCACCCCCCGCCCGCCGACCGCAGCTGGCTCCCGTTGCAGCGATTCGCTTTCGTGGAAGTGGGGCTGGCGGCCATGCTGGGGCGCGCGGAGACCTGCTGAGCAGGGCGCAAAATGCTGGAGTTCCCGCTCATGGCATCCCGGGAGTGGCTGCTACATGCTGGCCTCAGCGATGATCCAGGTGGGCTTCGACCTGTGGCACTCGAGAGGGGCAACTTCCTGCCGAGGTGCGACGACGCGAGGCTGGTGGTAGTCCGCAAGCCTGCCAGGCACGCCGATGCACCGGCAGCGGTCATGCGGTGCTCCTGGGGATGCTGAAGCCAGCGGCGTGCGCAGGGGACGAGATCGAGCTCTTCCTCCCCGAGAGGTCGTGGGAGCGCCCGGAGCGGGCGACGATCCAGAAATCGGCCATGGCGACATTGGGGGTTTCGAATGAGCAAC